TTCGACAACAGCTTGTTCCAGAGTTTTACTGAAAAAATTAAATAAACAAAAATCTTAAAAAAAACATGCATTCTTACTTATAACAGATTTAACTCTTCACAGATCTGATATCATTTTCTGAGATCAATTTAAAAGGCATAATGTGAAACATTCTAGCCTGACTCATCAGCCGGTTTCACTTCTGACTTCACAGCATCAGGATTTGTTCGCTCGATGGTAGGCAGGTACTTTTTTTATTTAACCAATCGCTGTTATTTGGTCGTGACATATGTAATGCGCCAAATCCCGTAGGAAGAAGGGCAATAGCGTCTTTCCCCTTGATAAAATTCACAAACAAACATTCTCTTTGTTTTCCGGCTTTAAATCCTCGATCTCGGGAATCATTGCAAAGAATGTATGTCTTCATCTACATCCATCCCCCTTTGTTTACTGTTGTGTTGTACCACAAAAAGGACCCAGACAGGTGCATGAGTTTGACGTCATGGCTTCACAGCTCTTCGCTGATTGTCCGGTGCACGGTCTAAAACCTCTGGGGTTCTTACAAACCGTCTAGTGTATTCCGATTCTTGACCTCATTGCTGGAGAGAAATGAAATTGAGCGGAGGCACTAGGTGGCACTAGCCTGGCTACTGCTTGCCTCAATTGAGATGTTAATACTTGTTAATAACAGCTTGTTCCAGAGTTTTAGTGAAAAAAATAAAATAAGCAAAAACCTTTAAAAACATGTATTCTTACTCATAGCAGATTTGACTCTTCACAGATCTGACATCAGTTTTTGAGATCAATTTAAAGGCATACTGTGAAACATTCTAGGCAAAACAAAAAACATTTTCATGGACAAAAGAACATGGCGAATTCTCCACCAACAAGTTGTAGAGCACTTTTTTTTAGTCAAGTTAATAGTTTGTTGTAATACTTTCTGTAGCATACTGTAGTGCTCCTCAAAATGTGTCATTGTGACAGGCCAACTTGCACCATTTTGACACGTGCATGGTTGGTTTACATACAAAACTATAACTAAACCCGCTCAGCATTGCAAATAGCAGGGATCATGCGGCGCTGCCACCACCACACTCCACCTGTGTTGACTGCTAGCTGTCAAAACGAGCTGTCACTCTGTCACCCAGCCTCTGCCATCAAGTCAGTGTTTGTGCTCCAAGATCCAGGCTCCGGCTCCACAGCACAGTACAGCACAAGGTGAGCTTACAGTTTACCCCAGTATTATGTCAGTTTGATGTGCAACATGTAGTCCACCTGCTGGGACTGGAGAGATGCTCTTATACTTCTCAAAAGGTAGTTTTATTTAAGCTGTTGGCAGTCTTTAAACCAACTGTTATTTTAAAGGTGCACTCTGTAACTTTCTAGTGGAACGTCCAGCACAATCTTTTTTTAAAGACATGTAGCTATAAACTTGGCTATCTGCACGGATACAAGTGCCATCCACCAAGAAAGTTACATAGTGCACCTTTAAAGTAATGGAGAAGATATAAATCAAAATATGGGTAATGGTGAGCTGCAGAACTAAGCAAAATTTCAAACATCAGAAATGCAGATACAACCATTCCTACCAATAACAATGATCTATCAGCCAATCACAGCTTTGCCTCTCAACCAACCAACTTCCTTTCTTCAAAATTATAACAGGGTTCCTACAGGTTTCTTCAAGTTAAATGTAAGTTTTATAAAGATCTTTTATAGACCATATATATAAAAACTTAATACCTATTTCATTGCCTATTTCAGACCTACCGGCAAAGAAAAACTAAATTCTTGAATTTGTGTTCATTAATTTCTCAAAGAAAGGAGTATGGGGAAGAAGAGACTCTTCCCTATAACTCCAGCATGAAATGGGTCATTCTGTAATGTAAAACCAACGTTAAAAATACAACATAACAGCGTTAGTCAAACCTTGTACTCTGCTGAGATTTTACTTTATTCTGCTTAGCTCGTTGCTTGTGGTGCTGTAGCGCGTGATCATCAATGAAGTGTTCGGAGTATTTTGACCTGGAGCTGCATCGTGTTCTCAATTATTAGTATCGCCACTCTTTATTTAACTAAATAATGGTGGTCGACAAAGAGAAATGTGATACAGAGAAATTACATACTGCACACATTTTAAGACCCTGATATAATAATTCAAGAAATTTTCAAGTCTTTTTAAGGTATTATTTCCAAATTCATAAATGTAATGCTTTTAAGACTTTTTAAGAGACCACGAGAACCCTGTATAAACATAGAATGAATGAGTGTTGGTGTTCTTCAATCCAGTATGTTACAGGTAGTTCGCAAGTGGGCAAACTGTATTTAACTATGACCTTGACACATTTCTTTCGTTGATTTCTTCGTTGTAAATCTTACTCAGTGTAGAGAGAAAACTAAAGATGAGAGATGAGCCCATTTCTAATCGTCTCTCTCATCTCAGTAGATGTAACTGGCAGCTGAGAAATCACAACCTTGAACCTCAATCAATGAACTTCTCACGTTATTGTGGATACTTCAGAGAAAGACAAATGATTTACATATTTCAGGGAAGGACAATGGTTTACAGGAATAACACTGAGTAACATTGAGTAATATGGACTTTATCTAAAAGTCATAGAGCTGTATTTCACTTGAGTGTCCAAGAGAAAAATCCCTGTGTCCTCGCTGTGTCATTGCCCTCTCCCTTTTTCTTTCTCTCTCTCCACACACACTCACTCACACACAAACACACACACGCACACACACACGCATACACACGTTCGCTTCAATGATATTTGTGGACATTACATTAACTTACATTCATTTCCTGGAGACTAACTTCTACTTCTACTTGCCTAACTTTAACCATAACTTATTGTAACCCAGATCTGAACCTCAAAGCATGTTGTCAATCTTATAATAAAGTCTGGGTAGGTGCCAGGTCCCCGTAAAGCAAGTGTGTATACAGATTTTAGTCCTCACGATGCGCCGTACAGGCCCACACACCGACCTACCTCTGCACGTGCCCACAGTTCACACGGCTAATGTTGTTGCTGTCTACATGATTAACGTCGGGCCGTTCTTCATTTGTAAAAAAGGTCTAACCCCAACTCGACTCTCCTCACAGACTCACCTTACATGTTCTGTGAAGTCCTGAGCTCCCTGCAAAAATAGCTGTCCTGTGCCCCACTCTGTCCAAACAGTATAAAAAGGTAGTATTTTTGCATAGTAACATTGAGGTGATCGTGCATTTGCCTGTGAAAATTCTAACTCTTGTATCTTTGTATCTTCCATATAGCTTTTTGACACCTGCTGCCACATTGGTTGTAAACAATTGTAAACTCCAAATTAAACGCACATTAAGAGCCCAAATTATCACTGTTAAATTAGTTTGTGATATGTGATTTTGGACTTTCAGCTCTCATAAAGACCCTATATTATACAAAATGGATTCTTATGAGCTTTAAGTCATGTTAGAATGTCGCTGCCTTATCAAAAACCTACCTGGAGATGTGTTTTGATTCATTCACACATGTTTAAACCCTTTATTATTAAGTACAGTGTGTACATCTCCCAGAGGTGGGACCAAATCATTGTTTTGCAAGTCTCAAGTAAGTCCTTAAGTTCCAAGTCCCAAGTCAAATACAGGCAAGTCCAAATTGAGTCTAAAGTCATTGGCCCATAAGTCCAAGTCAATTCCAAGTCAAGTCCAAGTCGTCTGCTTTGAGCTTCAAGTCATTTAAAGTCTTTAAATATCAAATATAGCTTAGATTTTTTAAAAATTCATATGACTTTTAAGCTCAATTGTACTTAAAAAGTCATGGTATATTTATATATGAGTATTTATAGAAATGCTTTTTTTTTTCCTTTTTAAATGTCTTGACAAGATCTTAGTGTGAATCATTACGACAAATTCAGATTTAAGAGTGCTTAATAACAGTTATTTTGTCATATGTCTGAAACTGAATGATAAGGTTCTTTGTAGTTCCCTCTGTTTTACTCTATTGTACTGTATATACTTTATTGTACTGCATGACATTTGGGAATATGTAAAGAGAAAAGTATTTTCTAAAAATATATACATATTTTTAGGAGAACCATCAAGTCACAGGCCTCAAGTCTGAGTCAAGTCCCAAGTCTTAGTCCATTTTATCAAGTCAAGTCTCAAGTCCTAAAAATAGTGACTCAAGTCTGACTTGAGTTCAAGTCATGACTAACAAGTCCCCACCTCTGACATCTTCAAAGCTCAAGCTGCTCTGTTGCACCTTGTGATGTCATGAAGCGGTGGCTTTCAAGTGAACAGATATTTTTTAGCTTTAGTTCAGTAGAGATTGACCATTCCCTGATTCATTTGAGTGAAGTTGTATTGAGTTTAAAATCACAGTGGAGCACTTCTTGTATTACCCCATGACAGAGTGTTTTCTATTTGAGAGAAGAACTTTGAGAGAAAAACAGGGTTTGTGTATTAAACTTGTGTGACTGAAACAAAACAACAGTACGGCGCTGACTGCCCTGCATGAAGGCAAAAAGAACATTAGCTATTTGTTTTGGTGCAGTTTTTAGTATGTAGCTTCACGACGAGTTACAGAGCAAGAATAACAATTTCTGGATGATGATTAGAACAAAATATAGGATGACAAAAATGTTATAGGCCTGGGGAGTTTATAAAATCGAACTTCCCCTAGTGTCATTTTGTCCTCGTGAACCAACTTCATCTTTTTATTTTTTCAAACTTTCAAAGCAGAATTTGATCCCCGCGGGACAAATCAGCTTGATAAACTTCGAACACAATATGTCTAAGCACACTCCGAAACATGTGGGCTGGCAGTTTGCACTTAAAACTCCTTCGCAACAGAATGAAGAATGAAAAAGTCGACAAGTACCAGCATCACTCAGACATCTGCTTGTTAACAGCCTGGCCCTGAGCGCTGGAGTAGGTGATGTATATTAAAACTTGTTCTCTTGTTTACACGTGTTTGCGCCTCTGGTCTTCACACGTCGGTTAATACAACTTTCGAAGGCATTCAGGGAGGATTTACCTTTTGACAGGAACGGCAGGGCTGGGGCTTGAGTGATGGGGCTGCAGTGGAAGTTGTTGCCCATGGCCACAGCGCGCACATTATAGTAGCGAGTGAGTCTCTCCCTTTATGGACGTCGATAGCATCTGCTCAAGGCGCTGACATAATCCGAGAAGAGAGCCATCCGGTCGGCATGCCAACGAACCACCTGACAAGCGATCCAAAGAATAACAAAAAAACAGGGAGAGTGTAATATTAGCGTGTCAGAAGATGTTAGCAGCTTACATTGTGAAAGTTTAACCAGGGAGCTCATGTCTTTGGGCGATACGCTTAAAAAGTGCCATGCTATTGTTGAGTGTTTGGAGCTAGGATAATTTCCAAAAGTGCACAGATTTTTGTTTCACATTTTAAAATCTGCCAAATATAGTTTCTACCTCAAGCGAGCATCAAGAAACTATTATACTGGAGAGGGTTGAATGAACTTTTGGATGGTGTCACCAAGGTTCTCAAGGTTTTTAAATATAATATTAATATAAAAATATATCTGTGCATGCTACAATTTGCATGACTCATCCCTGCATTCTGAATCATCACTGACAATGCACAGCTTAAGGGTTTATATGAGTCAAAAATTTTAAAAAATAAAAATAAAAATGCTACAACATGGTTTGATTTGAGGACGTTTTCAAAAGGGCTGCAGCGGTTCACGACACGACTATGAAAAAAATATTTGATTATTTTAATGGCTTATTGGTATCTAGTGAAACCAAAAATGCATACTGAAGTTCTTGTAAAGGTGAAAATGCAAAGAGCAGCAGCTTAAAAGTGAAAAAAGGAGATATGAGCACCTGGGCTGGCAACCACTTTGTGTAGGGATGGGCATGATTAGTCGATTAATCGATAATTGATCATTAAGAATTTCATCGATTATGTTCATTTTAATCGACAAACCGAATGTAGGTTGCTGTGCGTAGTGTGACCAAACAGGGGTCCGTACATGTAGCTCTCTGCACTCAGAAGGAGCGAGACACAAACAGTCGGTCAGCTTACAAAATGCCGAAGTGCAAATGCGTATTTAACGATGACTTGTACAAAAAATTCCGCGCTTTCCGTTGTGGTCGGGACAAGTGGGAGGCCATGTGCACAGTGTACAAAGCAGCACATATGTTTCGATGTCCAGTGGGAAAAAGCTCAACAGGACACCAAAAACATGAAAAAGCTTTGCCAGGTGAGAGTAGCCCGATGTCGATGACGAGGCCCCACCTCCCATCCCCCGTACGGTGTCCTGGTTTTGACAAACGCAAATATGGTCACACTAACCTGTATTCCACCGAGTCGTGTCACATTAGCGCACAAGAGCTTTTTTTTTTCTTCGCTTAGTTTATGCAAATTAGCCATGCGGTTTTAAGTTTCATTTCAGTGAGAGTTGCGCAAATCTGCATTAAACACATTATCATGTCAAACGGGCTGATGTGGCTCTAGACTCGTTATGGTTTATTTGTCGTAAAGTTGAATTTATTTATGCAGATTAGTAGTGCAGATAGTAATAATAATGATGATCATTTTAATATAAAAACGTGAATGATTAATCGATAATCGATCGTTAATTCTCCCGACGATCGATTAAGAAAATTTTATCGAATGCCCATCCCTAGTCCAAAGCAAGAAAGAAATAATCTGAAGAAGGCTTTTTGCCAAAATGTAATCTAAAATAAAAATAAAAAAAGTTTTGGACATCAGCCATTTGAGTGTACTATGTATTTTTTCCACTTTTTTATTGTTATCTGGACCATAAACCACTTGCTTTTTATAGCAAAGATGGGATTGTTATTAAATCAGACAAGAATACATATAATGATTATGATTTTTAAGCAAAGTGTCTCCTTATTTGTATCAAGATCAAGATTTCATTTCATCCATGCATATTTTAGTGTCACCGGTTAAATTTGATTAGAAAAATGATTAAATTCACAACAGAATAGTTAACTAATTGAAAAACAAATGAAAAGAAAAAAAAAGGTTAACTTGTTTACTAGTAAAATAATCAAACACTAAAAATCTGGAATAATAGTAACAAATAATTATCCATTTGTTGCATGAAAAAAAAATTAAATAAAAATTCTAGCCAGGTTAAGATTACTTTGATTTGAGTAAATTTCACTTAACAATTCAAATGATCTACCAATGGAAACAAGACTTTGCGTACTTAAAATATAAAAACGCATCTGGCGACACTTAAGATAAGATAATCTACTCCAATAAAGTACAATGTTCTTAATTTAAGTAATTTTAACTGAGCTAGATATTGGATTTTGAAGTGTATAATAGGATCACTACAATCGTACATTTACAACTTTAACTATTCCAGGAAATCAACTGATAATACAACTGATAAAACAACCGGTGAACATTAACTTACATTTACACAATCTTCTCATTTTATAACATTGATGAATAATCCACGGTACTATTTGGAGTAATCAGATCTAGTGGAGCTCTCCTCTGTCCTCTCAGCTGTGGTGGTGTGGGCACCGAGCCACACCTCCATCACTGCAGATTGAGTCCAGGTGCAAGTGTGTCCTTCCAAGAGCCGCCATTTTGAATCAATACCAATCCAGGCCCAAAATGTACCTCGAGTCACGACAAACTCTTAAATTACAGGACGTCAGGTTTTATACTCCAGTGGTGTCCGATGCACGGAGCTACGCTGGCATTTCTATTTTAAATTTGTCCTTCCCCCGACCATCCTGCTGTCCTCACTGTGCCTGGTGTTGCATGCTGGGAGGAGAATGTCAATAAGTTTTGTCAAGAGGTGTGGGTTAAGGTTAACTTCATTATATACATCTGCTTGGAAAACATACTGTGTGTTTTTTTGTTTTAAAAATGCGAATAAGCTCCCGTGCACACTCAGTTTCAAGGGTTTGTTTTCTATAAATCTATAAATCTGTAAATCTGTAAATATATAAATCTGAGCCAAATTCAGACTACAAAAATCTTTGACTAAATAAAAAATAAAGTTTTTGGGGAGCTGCATTTTTTTCTTTTTGTCAGTTAGGCTTTAATTATTGTTTTCTTTCTCAGTTTCTTCTCCAGCTGAACTAAAAACATTTTTTCTGGTCCGTCACCTGCTTGTCTCCATGGAGATGTTATTGCTTTGTCTGGAATGTTTCATACTATGACATTAAACACATGTATGTAGCATTTATTCAATATTGAGATCCCTTGAGATAGGCAGGTTTAATCTGTACTGTAGAACATTCTGAACAAAGCAATAACATCTCCAAGAAGACAAGCAGACAAGCAGAAACACACCATCCACCAGAAAAGTTACACAATGGACCTTTAAGCCTATTGAGACTTGTTACGATACAGTTCGTTTGGGGTTGGGGGAAGTAACAAAAATAGCCAAGATGGAAAAATTGAATAAATTAAATAATGTTTAATTAATAGGAACGTAAAAGGTAAATTAACAAAAGACTAAAATATACAGAAAATAACCTAAACGAAGAAACAGAACAATGAAATAAACTGAGTTTTGGGCCACAAAAGGGGTCACGCAGGCTTACAAAAAACGAGTGGTTAACAAAGGGAGACACACTAAACTAAAACACAAGTTCCCCAAATTAAACCACATAAGCCCACAAACAGAATCGAGTGACCAAATTAAAAAAGGCACAAAACAGATCTAAACTAAACTACACACATGAACACAAAATGGGGCCGTAACAAGAATATATATGATGACGGTCTGAACAGAAGACACAAAAATGGTGTTGCATCTTCGATTTTTATTCTGCGTTTAGACAAGCATTTTCAGGAGGAAATCTGCGTGCATATAGTGACTCAAAAGTGTGTGAAATTCAATTGGGTATAGTTGTACTTAAAGCAACAAGAGCATCTTCGGACATACACCACCTATTTTCATCAGCTACTCCTTCCACAAAGTTTTCCCACCATCGACTGGTTCTCTCAGGTCTCGACCACAGTCGTCTGACTCGCCTGCGACCAACTGGTGCATCCAGAATTTGACAGAAGTGATTGCAGATCCTTCCCTGTTCACTAATAGTATCTCTGCATATTCTGTACATTTGTTGGGATGCCTCCTGTAAGTTTATTAGAGCTGCCAGAGCAACTTGAAGGTCCGACACATGGAAATAATTCAACATGTTTGTTTCTGTGTACTGTATGTATAAACACACACGTGACTTGAGCAGATCTGACCAGAGTTTTGCATCTTGGGCAGTGAAGACGGAAACCCTACAGCAGGGCGTATTCAACTTTTCCACTCTGGAGGTGGTTTCAGATTTTTGCATTTTTAAGCCCCAAAAAACACCATCACCATCTAAACAAAAGGCACTTCTGATAAAATATTTTATCGTTTTTACCCACAAGCGTTCTCCTGTAAACAGGCCCTGAGACACACAACAGCTGAGGTCCCCATCTTTATTTTTGTAAATGAGTAAATTTAGTTTTTCAGGAAGGATTTGAGAGAGCTGAAAAGAATTAGATTAGATTTAAAAACCTACTTCCTCCTTTTGTAGTGTGAAAAGGTCGTAATGGAACTTTCCTTTTATAATTTGCCACAAAAAATTAACATAGCTTACTTTTCTCTAATATCTACATGCCAATCCTTTATACAAAACATCCAGACAGCTCACGAATTGCTTCATCACGACTTACTTGTCATATTCAAAAATAAGCAGTGACAAAACTGGAACACTTCCCACAAACTTCCCTTTGTCCGAAAAGCTCTTGGTCTCCCTCCTCTTCCTCTTCTTCTTCTGAATAGGGGAAGTGTCTGTCCTTCACACAGTCTGATTTGCTTATAGGACGGGCGTTGGCGTCTAATACTAATCTGAATGACAGCGCTGGATGTTCTTGGCTCACATACAGAGGCTGGATCAGGCCTGGCCCCGTGACCTTCTCCGCAAGAACAAGCAAAAAGTTACAGAGTACAAAGTGTTGGAGGCGGCGGCCATGATGTAGGCTTAGAGAAAGAGAAAGGGCAAGATGGAGGCAGGTTTAGAAGGATCAATAGAGTCTATTCTGTTCTACCGCAAGTGTACAGTAAAGGTTAATTTGAGAACAGCTTTTTAATAAAATTATTAATGGTTGAATATGTTTTTGAGATTTGCACGGGCCACCCACTAATTAAACCCACAGAGAACTATACAACAATAACATGTTCTTTAAATGTTCTATATTATGTAAAATCGAGTCAATATGTCCTTATTGTTTTACCGAGCACATTGAGAGTTTTGCCTTACCAGAAATGCCCATACACCTGTTGTATTTGTGTCTGCTATATAGCTAAAATCTATAACACCCATGGATTGTTGTGTTATAATTGGCACATTTTTAATCATAACATTAATCCAAATGACTTAGTAAAAGAAAACAGGAATTGATGTCTTGAAATTAAGTGATTAAAGATGCACAAATCACTCCAAATACAACTTTGAGTACTGTAATTTCCGGAATATAAGCCGCTACTTTGTTCTCACACTTTGAATCCTGCGGCTTATACAACGATGCAGCTAATATATGAACAGATTCTTTGTTTGGCACATTGTCCATTCATATATACAGTCTATTTTCTGGCAACACAGTGGATGCGCGTACAGCCTGAGTGCAGAAAACACCGCTGTCTGTGCGGTTACACATGGATCTAGGTTTAACATGAAGTTGCAGGATTAGCTAGAGATATTGTCAGTGCACTCAAATAGTTTATCGCCATGTGATAAAATAAGTTATGATGCTAAATGAACATTAGTGAGGGAGATACGTCTTACTCGTATGTGTAAATGACGAGAAGAAACGTCTCAAACTTCAGTAGCCGGACATCCACTCATACCTGATCAATACAACTAACCCTGCCCCCGAGAGAGTCTGAAATCTGCAGAAATCCTTCAAGACACTGACATGATACAGACAGGACAGTGGCTCTTTCTGCAGGAGACATGCAGGAGAGCATGGCGAGAGATGGGGTGATGAGCCAAGGGAGATGCTTGTTAAATTGTGTTTTGAACAGTTATTTTGTGCTTCATGCACACAACCTCCTCATGGAAAACACACGAAGAAATGCAGATGATGCAGCTTTTAAGTTAACGTGATTGACCTGGCTGTTGAAGAAGGAAACAGAGCTGCTGCACGTGAGCTCGGCATCAGTGAGTCAATGGAGATATTTTGGTGACAGCAGCGTGACAAACTCACACAATGCAAAAAAACAACAAAACTTTTCAGAGGCAATAAAAGAAGGCGGCCCGAACATGAAAACGTTTTGACTGCAGCTTATAGACAGGTGTGGCCTATATATGTACTTTTTTTTTTTTTCTTTTAAAATTTAGTTGATGCGGCTTATATTTAGATGCGCTCAATTGTCCAGAAATTACGGTAAATGGTTTAAGGAAACAACCATAACATTTTTACATAATAAAGCCTTAAAAGTCAATTTTGCATGACAGGTCTGCTTTAACGATAAACCCATACTAAGTGGTAACAAAAAAGCATAAGATCAGGGGTTGGTCAGCAGTTCACATCCTTAAGCAACAAGTAGTATCACCAAACTCAGTCTTAGTATTGTCCTTGTGGATCTGTCTGGCCCCTCCCACTGGCGACACAGTTCGTCCAACATAAACAACAGATAATTATGAAATTGGACATTTTCTTGAGGCATAATTACCGCCAGTGAAGTTCGGTTTGAAGCAAATTAGCCTTGCAGGATGTTGAAACAAAGTGTTAAAACAGGGTTAATTGAATTGTAAGCCTTGTCACTGAAGATTACCAAGTTGGAGAAACACCACTTTAATTGCGTTATTACCATGTGGATTAAGGCTTTGGGTATTTTTGTCCGGTAATTATAGGCATATTTAAGTCACAGTGATTTGAGCAGAAAATTTGTGACAATCCAATACGAAGAGAGAGAAGTTTCATATCAAACTGTACAACGCTGGCGGGTAGGATTGGTATTTTCAGACATATGTTGATGAAAGCATGTATGGTGATAATGGGTTAATTAATTTGACAGTAACAGACAGAAGGAGACGCCATTTCTGAATCAGTGGATCAATTATTCCTGCCTTTTTTCATGCTCATTTTAGATACTGTTGCTTTCAGACATTTCAACTTTTCTTGGAAGCCCTGACCTCAGTTATAATATTGTCTGATCCATGTTATAAGGTTGTTTCTTCATCACAAACATACCTGGAGTTGTGTTTTGTTTCATTCACACATGATAAGCATACAAACACTGAACTCTTCTCTCAAACAAAAAACACTCTGTTCCAACTTGTGATGTCATGTGGTAATACGGGAAGCCCTCCATTGTATTTTTAAAACTCTATACACCTTCACTAGAATCATTTGGATAATTTCAGCCCTGGAATTGCGAATCTTTCATGAACAAAATTTTAAAGGTGATTGTTAACTGTTAAAACTACCACTTCATGACATCATAAGGTGGAACAGAGCATTTTGAGCTTTAAAGATAGCAGAGGTGGGAACTTGTGAGTCGTGACTTGGACTCAAGTCAGATTTGAGTCACTATTTTTAGGACTTG